TTGCTCGGCGGGACTGATGGTACGCACCATTTATCGGTAGGGTAAAGAGACTGGTAGAATATCATAGAGGGAAGCACAATAGATCAAACTGGTCATGGTGCATGGGGAAACCCACCCTCTCTAAATAACTAACTAACTAACTAGGGTCAGTGATGCTAGGCAGAGAAAAATACATACAGCTGAACTGTTAGTACCTGATCCTACCCCATTTTCAGGTTGAAATTTGTATTGCAAAATTGAAACGGTATAAATCGTCAGGTAGTGATCAAATTCCAGCAGTCAAAATATTACATTCTAAGATCCAAAAGTTAATTAGTTATATTTGGTATAAGGAAAAATTGCATGATCAGAGGAAGAAGTCTATTATTGTACCAGTTCCCAAGAAGAGTGATAAACCTGACTGTAGTAATTATGGGGGGATATCACTGCTACAAACTTCATACAAAATTTCGTCCAATATTCCCTTCTCAAGGTTAAGTCCATAACTAGATGAAATTAGTTAGTGTGGGTTTTGACATAACAGAGCAACTACTGATCAGAACTTCTGAAATCATCAGATAGGGGAGAAAAAATGGGAGTATAATGAGACAGTACATCAGCTATTTGTAGACTTCAAGAAACCATATGATTCAGTTAGAGGGGAAGTATTGTACAACATTCTCCTAGAGTCTGATGTACCCATGAAACTAATCAGGCTGATTAAAATATGTTTAAACAAAACGTATTGTAAAGTCCATATAGGTAAACATTTGTCTGATAATTTCTCTATCCAGAATGGTCTAGAACAAGGAGATGCTTTATCGCCACTCATTTTCAACACTGCTTTAGAATATGCAATTAGGAAGGTCCAGGAAAACCAGGTGGGACTAAAATTAAATGGGACACATCAGCTTTTGGTCTATGTTGATGATGTGAATATACTGGGTGATAATATAGATACCATAAAGAAAAACACACAAAGTTTAATTGATGCAAGTAAAGAGGTTGGTCTAGAAGTAGACAGAGAAAACTAAGTATGTGTTGCTGTCTCATCACTGAAATGCAGGGCAAAATCATGACATAATGACAGAAAACAGATGTTTTGAAAATGTGGCACAGTTCAGATATTTGGGAACGATGATAACAAATCAAAACCTGATCGAGGAGGAAATTAAGAGGAAATTTAACTCAGGTAATGCTTGCTACCATTAAGTCCAGAATCTTTTGTCTTCTCATCTATTGCCTAAAAGCATAAATATTAGAACATACAGAACTATAATTTTGTCTGTAGTTCTGTATAGGTGTGAAACTTGGTCTCTGACATTAAGGGAGGAACACAGACTGAAGGTGTTTAAGAACAGGGTGTTGAGAATATTTGGACCGAAGAGGGATGAAGTGACAGGAGGTTGGAGAAAACTGCATAATGAGGAGCTTCATAACTTGTACTCTTCTACAAGTATAATTAGAATGATCAAGTCAAGGAGGATGAGGTGGACAGGGCATGTAGCACGAATGGGGGCAGCGAGGAATGTATATAGGATTTTGGTGGGAAAGCCAGAAGGAAAGAGACCACTGGGAAGACAAAGGCGTAGGTGGGTGGACAATAATAAAATGGATCTTAGAGAGATAGTATGGGTGATATTGACTCTTTTGAACATGGAAATGAACTACTCACAAATTTATATAAACTATTCACTTACTTTATCATTGTTAAGAGTACTGTTCCTATAACATTCAAAATAATAAACATAATTCTAACTCAACTCTTTTATTGTAAGCAAAGATATTGTTAATGACTCTGGAAGCTAAAATCTTCTGTATCACAGCTGTATCTCATGCATTCATGTTTTCATGAAAATCGATAAGATGAATAGCATTCTAAGTTATGTCTGCATATTTCACTCCTACAATATTCACGCTTTTTCTTTTAAAGATTTTCATGCATACCTTCTTTTTGTTCAGTGGTTTCTGAGTATTGAAAGGAATGTTGTCATTTCAGCCAGGTACAACTATATTTGGACTCAATGAACAGGATATGACTTCTTCAGTCCAAAGACAAATTCCCCCAAATTTTCTTCATTGTTGCTTGAGATTTTATATGCTGAAACAGGAAAAAAACTTGTGCACTAATTTCCTCCACGTTTTTTTTCAGTGAAAAGAACATTGCAATTGGCCTTTGATGAGATATATGAGCTACAGAATACATATCATATATTTTACAAAAATTGTGAGCCCTTTATTACAGTTCTGAACTGCTGGTTGATTACTGTCTCCTGAACTTATTACACCGCCCTCCTCATACTGAATTACATGACTGCACATGATAAATTCATTTTCAGAAAAAGGAAAAGTAAATCTGAAAATAAATTTATCACCCTCTATGGCCCATTCCCTGACTTTCCCTTAAGTATTTTTACAATATCTTAAATTGTCATATCACATGCCTTAAGAAAAAAGAGAAAAAAATTAACATTCCTATTTGGGTCTACAAATAATATTTTCCTATTATAAGTGTAAGAATCTAGTTCTTCACATTACTTTATTGAATTTCAACATATTATTTGTTGGTTATTACAGCTTCAAAACTATTGCGATAAATGAAATTAAACTAAAGAGCTGAAATGTATAGTGTTAAATTACCTAAATGACCAAGCACACTGCATATTCTGTACACAAAAAATCATCACTCTTATTGCAACTATATTGTCACAATATGTCATAATATTATCCAGTGAGGTTCCAGCTGCACCATAAACAATGAAATCTAGCTCAGGCAACAGTAAAAAAACATTAAAGGAATTATGAAAGGGCAACAGATATCATGCATTTGTTCTATTAGCACATTCAAATAAAAAAACAGTAATGTGCTCCATATGTGAGCAGGGATGTCACAGTTGGCATAGTGACTAGCTGCTGGCTGGACAACTGAGGGTAGGAGAACTTGTCCTGGCGGGGGGAAGAATTTTCACTTCTCCATGTTGTTCAGACTGCTCTGTGGTCCACCCAACTTCCTATCCAATGGGTACCAGAGGCTTTTTCCCCAGAGGTAAAGCGGCCAGTGCGTGAAGCTGACCACTCAGCTCCAACTAGTGCCGAGTTCAAGAAAACGTGGGTCTAGACATTCACTCCCCCATATACCTTCATGGTGTAGTGCTTGCTTAGTTAAGTACAGGGACAACTTTACCTTTTTTTACTGCATATACAAGCACATCTGCTCAAGTGTTAAAAACAGGTTATTTGTGGGACTGGAGGTTCGATCAATAGTAAAGTTGACTTTAAGAATTCTGCCTGGAACTTCATGTTATGGTATAAGACTTCATCATTATCACTGCCATAGGAATCCTATCTTAAGTATTTTCATAATGTAATCTGTTCAGACTTCATCATTATCACTGCCATAGGAATCCTATCTTAAGTATTTTCATAATGTAATCTGTTCCATAATCTCCACATTGGGTAAATTTCATCATTCTGATTCATACACCTCTTTAGATACAAAACTGCTTCTGTCTTCATTTCCATATATTTTTTTTATTTTTGATTTCCCTATACAATAAATACAATTAAAATTGAATATATTTTAATGTTAATTTTATAGCAAAAGGCACTATGGGAAAAGAAATTATGTACGAGTAAACTGCTAATCTGGATAACAGACTGTATTTTCTGAAATTTAGTATGTTTCTAATATCATAATGAAAAGATTAAACAAAAAAATCCTTGAACATGATGTAAAAGCCACTAAATTCTCTTATAAGTTTTGAATTTTTTATTGCAGTGATTGCCCAGATTGTGGTCTTCTGGTTCTAACATCATATGGTGTTGTAAATGGGTACCAATGTCTAGGAGGATCAAGCTATCTGTCTCTTTAGGGTTGAATTATGTAGGATGAGGAAACTTGCAATTTCTAACCTTTTATGCTTCGACCCTGAAGCACAACACAGAGTATCATAATCAGATTAATTACTTAATTTCTCACTGATATCTCTATTGTAGCTTTTGTTTGTTTACAGACTGAAGTATCTGCATTACACAATATTTTACTCAGTTCAACTGATTTTACTGTATGTGGCTTACAAGATAGTACTTCACTATTGGATCACCTTCAAGGATGTTTTATTAGAAATACTACAGTACTGTTACTGAAATATTCCAATATGGATAAATAACATGAGATGTATTTAATTAAACTGCCTGAAGATGGTCCCTAATGCGGACCCAAACATGTAGCAGTTATTAAACAAAACCAATGTAAACAATTTAATTAGTTCATTTTCATTGTTGTGTTGACAGCTAGAACACCATAAATATTGATACACAACAGGACGCGAACAGTAAAGGTATATATTTCAATAGAAATGATATATGAACTAACAGTCTCCTTATATAATTTTTTAAAGACTTTTTCATTAAGAAAGTTTAGATTGAATGATCAGCTCAGTTTGCCATTGGAAGGTATAACATTCTGTTTATCATGGAATAGTAAAACCTTTGTTACAGTTCTCATATGTAACTGTTTTGTGGTTGTTACTATGTCATCTTACATGCCATATTTTAAGAAAATGGTCAAAGACAAGGGTTACTTACCCACTTCACTTGAGCCATGGGTGAATAAAGTACACCATATTAAATGTTAAATAAATAAATTTGTAATGTACTGACAAATATGGAAGTAAATAGAATAATGTTCATATTGTCTATATTGTAATGCATATTATGGGAATGTAACCTATTTATTTCTTAAGTTTCTTATGGTAAAAATGGATCTGCTTAAAATCATTTCATATGAAGTCATGGTTTGTAAAAATATATCCATGATGTTAAATGAGGATCTACTGTAATACTGTTACAAATTTTATGCACAATTCTTATATCTTAATTTTAAGTCCTGTACTATACCAAATAGTCACATAAGCTAATATCTATACTGCTTATTTCTTATTTGTTGTTTATTTAATAAAGTAAAGTAAAAAAAGTAAAGCTATCCCTGTAACAGTCTGTGAAGGCCCATAGGGTTGTGAGACGTTGAGGGTCCCACACTATCCAGACAATTGGCTCAAAGATGGCGGTAAGGTTGTGAGCCTTATGCGCTAGCAGCGCTTTACTCACAAGGAAAATTATTAAATTAATTCCCATTACTCATTTCTGTTAGAGGCTGAGTAAACCCCTGGGCCTAGTGCAGCTGGAATGATTACGTCAATTGAAAAAATCCAATGACCTCATTGGGACTTGAACCCATGACCTTCTGGCTACAGCATAGCCCTTCAACCAACTACACTACTGCATGCCCCCATTGTTTATTTAATAATATTAATAATTCAGACTATACGGTATCAAATGACTGGATGATAGTAAATCGGAAAGAATGTAGAAGGAAGGGGTTGTAGAATGATTTTTAGCACTACCCTGGGATTTTCCTATAGGGACTGAGGAAACCCAGAGAATAGACATCATGTTAATCAGTGTCTTGGTCAAGGTGTGGACCAGGAATCTCCTGAGTACATATCGGAAGTATTACCACCTGAGTAAACACACAGAGTATATTTTGCTATCTTAGATATCAGTGCTGGATGGGAAAGACACAACTTAATATGAACTCTCTGCTGTCTCCTATATCATGATGTGAAGGTATTGCAATGAGTTCTCCAAAACCTGGGCTTTGTATTGAAGTCTTTCTTTTTCCCTCCTCAGTAGGTGTTTCACTCTTTCCCACTTTTGTTTGGGTCTCCCTGTTGCCTGTTTTACTCCTTTAGGATAAAGCATAAAATAATAAATATTGTCACTGCGGAAGTGACTCTTGAAGCTGTTTTGTTTGGAGATTGGATTTATGGACCACTTTAACACCACTCATAACTACACTTCATAAAGCACCTTTGCTGATCTCCACACTTTACAAATTACTAGAAAACACAGACTAGTGTTCACAGTCTGTTACAGTCTCCATTATTTGTATCCTGCTAACGGTATTCTAACGGTAGAGATTCTTCAACTGTACCGACCAAGTCTTATTTTCACAGACTCCCTTACAATTCTCTCAGTGCTTCAACTGACTAACTCCCAGGCTGGCAGCCATTTCACATCAACCACCTAGTCTTCTAATGGCCTCCGTAGTCTAGAGGTAACGTCCCCACCTCATGACTCGCAGTACGCGGGTTCAAAAACCTGGCGGAGGTCGTGGAATTTTTAAGGGCGGAAAAATTCAGGGAACAAGTCCTCCAGGAGGGACTTTAAGCCATGGGTCCCGTGTTGTAGATTTACGGCACGTAAAAGAACCTCATGTCTCTAGGAGACCTCTGAGCAAAATTAGGCAACATTCCCCACCCAAGTAGTTTCCAATTCCTCCGGGAGATGGGAGAAGTATTAGGTACCACTGCCAGAGGAGGGGGGGACCTCTCTGACAGAAAGGGACTAACTATTAGATACCACTGCCAGAGGAGGTTGGAACCTTGCTGGCAGAAAGGGGCTGATAGTACCGGTAGGGTATGGAGACAGTAGAAATTAAAGGGGGACGCACAATGGACCACTAACCGGTCTAAGTGCATGGGGAAACCCACCCGCTCAATACGGAATACTGAGTCTTCTCGTAACAGACTCACTTTTAATAACTAACTTAAGTTCTAAACTTGTCCCATTGATAACCCCTTCGTATGGACCAAGTAGACTACACTGACTTTTAACTAACTTAAGTTCTAAACTTGTCCCATTGATAACCTCTTTGTATGGACCAAGTAGACTACACCCTTTCCAAAATTTCCTCTATTGTTGAATGTGGATTCATTGCTGCAGAGATGCGTTTACAGCACTGTTGCTTACCAATACAAGCAGAGTGAACCACAGAAAACAACACTTCCAACAGTTCCTCTGTTCTTGAGCGTTGATTTGTTACCTCAGGAACCTGTTTGTTTGAGATCAGAACCTGGTAACAGATCCACACGCCACAATATTTAACTGTGTTTGCATCCTTCTTTGTTCTTTTATTTCCCCAGAAGGGCTCAGCTCCATAAAATTCAAGATTCATTCAAGATTCAATTAATTAATAGCATATTTACAAGCTACTCTCAATAATATTGAGCAATAAGTAAATTTTTTCTAAGCAGGTGCTTTGAGTAGAGAAGTTATCAACTGGTGATACTCTGGCATGCTCTGTACACGAATGGTGATGGTTAATCTTCATCATCTGTCTGTTATGTCAGGTCAGATGGCCATTGTCTTCTCAATCTTCTTCTTACATTTGGTGGGTTGCATATTTCTACTAGTCTGTTACTGTGTCTGAGTATGCAACCATTCTTCATGCAACGCTTTTGGTGATGGGATGAACAGCAGTTAATTGACAAACGTCACCCAGACTATGCTAGGCGGGGCAAAATAGATCTGGCTTTGGAAAACATCTCTCATAAGATGAAGGAGTCTGGTATGTGTGTATACATATATATACATTGTTGCGTGTTCCCTAGGCAACGCGACAAGAAAGGTGTGGGTCTCAGATTTGGACGAATATTTATGGGACTATCACTCTTTACACTCACAAATATAATTTATTCACACTTATAATATCTTTGGACGTTTCCTCTTCCATGTTATACACTCTCGCACCACTAATCATATTCAAGTGTCTTCTGTTCTGCTCGGAGCTTAACTGTCCTTAGCTCTCATCGGATATGAAAACTACTGGTCTCTGTCTGCTAAACTGCCGCTGGACCTCCCCAGGACTTTTTATTCTTGGTTCCAACTACCACTGGTCTCAAAGTCCAAGACACACTGCGACTGATGGTCAGTCGGTCGGTCAGTCGGTCAGTCAGTAATTCTTGGTGTCGAGCAAAATATTTATTACTGTTTGAAAGTTACGGTCTTGCTTTTTTGGGGCACCCTCTCTGATGACAGGACGGGTCTGGCTTTCGTATATGCTCCTGGCTCTTGCCAGCGCAGTCTTTCTCGGGTCTGAGTCCCTTCCCTTTTCATCACCTCCTATGAGTCGCAGGGTCACGGTGGAGGTATTCAACCCTGCCTCCACATGGGGCACACAGGTCTCATATATAAAAAAAAAAGAAGTCAAAGTCACATTGCGACTGACTAGTCTCTGAGCCTCATTTTACAACCAATGGTTAGTCGGCCAGTCTGTCCCGGCATTAAGCACCCATCTGGGGCTTGCAACCAGATCTCTATTACTGTTTGACAGTTACAGTATTGTTTTTTTGTGGACGCCTTCTCTGATGAGAGGACGAGTCTGTCTTTTGTATATGCTGCTGGTCCTTGTTAGCGCAGTCTTTCTCGGGTCAAAGTCCTTTGGCACTTGAGACCAATGTCTCAAATTTGAGATTTCCCTTTTCATCGCCTCCTACGACTTGCAGGGGCATGGTGGAGGTGTTCGAACCTGCCTCCACATGGGCAGAACTCAATCCACTAACTTGTACTGCTTATAACACCTCGGCAAAGATGGCAAAGAAAACACCGTTCCTTTGTTGTAATGAAATTGACATGGATACATGCTTCCTTGTGCAGCCATTCCTTAACAACAGGTGATGTACAGTTGCTTGTTTTTCAGCCGTTGCCTAGAACCGGGTCTACATGCAACAATTCATACAATCCAGCAATAACTTCTGAATTTCTTTTAAGACAATTTTTAGCAATAGCATAGAAATATGTGCAAAACGCCAACTAAACTTGTTAGTTCTGACACTAAGTCCAGGAATATTTCACGACTGTAATATGTTTAACACTCATCATGTCCTTTGAGGCGTAATTTGTGTGTTCACAGAACATAATATAATTCATTATTCTGCATATAATATACTTATTCTTTGTCTATAACCTCACTGTGACGCTGACTGCGAACACAATGACCTTCTATATTATATTTAAGCATCCTGTTGTACTCCACACTTTCATTCATTCATTCATTCAT